TTGTTTGTTTGTTTGTTTGTTTTCTTAAAAAATGAAACAGTTGCGATTTGTTTTCTGCCACCTTGAAAATAGTTCAAATCTGGTGCAAAATATGGTGCAAAATACAGTGGTTGGGAATAGATTTCAGTTCAAATAGTCTACACACATTAAAACCTTTTCTTTAGATATCTGTATTTTTTAGTTTCTTTCTAGGCAAAATCATCCCGCACCGAGGTTAGTATTCCTGTGAGTAACGTAAGTTAAGTCACGCAATGCTAGCAAACTGATCTGTAAGAGTTGTACCACAAGTACAATTCGGTATATTTATATGAACAAATACTTCATTTGTTCAGATACTGGCGAATAAAACTCCAGGAAGGCCGTTAATTTTATTACTCTTGTGTGTGAATCGTGTAAAAGCTATCAGCCATTAAAATCACCCAAAGGTCCCTGCGAGTGTATGAAACAATGACGCGTCACGTGATCCGAATCCACCATTTGTTCGCGCCACGAACCGGTGAGAGGCTCGCGCCAAAACCAAATATCAATAACTTCACGCCGTTTATTTCACAACCTGTGGATTTGTTTACATCGTAAATGCAAGAAATCTTCCTTGGGAATTTGTATGGTCAGCATCAAAAACCCTTGGCTACTCACAGCGCTCCTATGTTGTCTGTTGAGGCAGCGATTCTGAGACGATCGAACGAGCCAAATGAGATATTCCGCCTGGACGTGTTGGTCATAGAATATGTAAGCCATAGTGATTATCTCCTTGCTATATTTTACTGGTAGTCTTAATGCGATCGAGGAATTTAGCTCTATTTCCTCCTATTTTAAACGTAAGGAACTGTTTTATGTGCTTGTCGTGTATGTAATATGTGAAGGCGAGATTTTCTCCTAACGCTGGTGTCAGATTTGTAAATTTCTACAGCCATCAACTTCAGGTGATTTGCATTGTTCGAGCTCTGCCTATTTTACTCCCTTCTCTGAGTTTCATCACGGATGGTAGTAATTTGAAGCAGCTAATCTCTCATCATTTCTTTGTAATATAACGTAATTTGTCGGGGCATTTTTCATAGCGAGCTCGGTCCTGGAGAAATCCAAGTGAAAAACTGGCCCTCATTTCAACAAGCCAAGGTCATTTGACCAGAGAATGTTGACAGTCGAAAAATCAGAATTTCTACCTTACCTTGCCTACTGAATTATAGCTTATGACAGACCCAAAATTGCAATTTTTTTATTTAGCCATCGTTACATTTGAAGCCAACTATTTCGATTTTAACACTGAAATAAGAATGACAGTAATAAGCTTACTTTACATTTTCTGAGTCACTCATAACTTTTTGAAAATGAACTTTATTGTCATTTCTCGTAAATTACCACAATATCTTTTTTTTGTACTGAACTCAAAATCAAAATTAATTTGTAAACAGTCTTATAAAATTCCTCACCTGATTAAAAGGGAAAAAATAGTTTTAAAATTTTTGGCAATAATTTTGTGGCCTTATCAGCATCTCTCCATAGCTTAGCCCCTCCTGTTGTCGCTTACTTTCCCAGTTACTATCGATCGTGTTGAAGTAAGCGAGCGAAACTCGCACTTTTTCGTTGGTTTAAGGCCGTTATGAGGCTCTATTTTGTACTGAAGACAGCTGGCATTACTAGAAAGACTCATGAAAACTCGCTGTCGAAATTATGGGAGAAGGAAGGGGTAAGTACAATTGTTGTGACTGTGCTCTCGTTTTCGCTTCGTCGAGAAGCGACCGTGAATTGAAACGACAGCAATGCTATAAGCTTATTTTCCCCTTTCTAATCCACAAAACACGGTAATTGGCACTTTTTAGCTTTCCTTTCTTAGCTAGATTTCGAGCTTTAAAGAGCTGACCTCTCGTGACAGGAAGTACTTCGATTAATATGTGGAAGAGGGTTCGACTTGAAATTGTGAGTTTACCATAATCGCCATTGTTGTGTTTGCTTCTTCGTCTAGGATGACTGCCGATGGGCTGCCTCCATCCATTAAAGATAATGCAGTGAAAGACATCGAGAAAGGTGTAGATTTGATAGAAGAGGTTTCTGGCAAAGATTCGCAGATTTTGCACGAAACACGGTCGCAGAAACAGGCTTCAAAGAAACGACTTCACGAAGACCATGCGGAAACATTAACAAAGGACTCAAGTTTTGCTGTAGCATCTGAAACCTCGAATAATTCAGTCGGTGTTGCGACAAGAAGTAGTACAAGACCTAGTAAAAGACCAAAATTAACAATTTGTGCAGCTAATGGAGTTGTAAACCAAGGTATGCTACTTCTTATAATAATTTACGTTTTGCACAAACGACACAAGAACTGCAAACCAGACCGCCATTTTGAGCTGTATGCGAAATCGGTTCCCATCGATTTTTAGGCTATCACTGAAAGTTATTTGCTTCTTATGGTTTGCAGTTCCTTGTTTCATTTTATCATCGTTTTCGTTTTGAACTGGTGTTAAAAACTGCAAAAATTCAGTTAAAGTTGTAGGCTGATACACACTTTTGTTTACTGATTGTCGATGTTGGTTTGGTACACGTATCACTTTAATCAGGCTATAACTAAGACAGATATACTTTCATTCGTTCTAAATAACATTCCTTTGAAATTCTGGATTTCCAGTGAAAATTACAATGAAATATTTTGCCTTACTAGCTATCATGAAGATTGTAAATAAAATTTGACAATATTCATACTATTTATTATTTCTACGTGGTCAGTGTTTTTACTGGGATCTAGATAACGTACAATAATAGTAATAGTAATTGAACCGAGTGGAGTACAATTCAGGGAGTAACTGGTTGAGTAGTTTCAAAATCGGACAAGCACACAGTGCGAGGCCAATTTGAAATTATGAGCAGGATTACAGTCAAACCTCCCGTAAGCGACCACCCAAAATGTCGAGCCTAGGTGGTCGCTTACAGGAGGTGATTGCTTATGAGAGCTTAAACCGTAATGGATCAAAATTTTTCCTCATTTTGTAGTTCCAGAAAAT